ATGAAGATAGTTTGATTTCTGCTGCCCAGTGTGTGTGTGTGTGTGTGCGCGTGCGCGTGCATACACACACACACGCATGCACACACACATGTGCCTTCAAGTCGCCTGTTCAGTTATGGCTACCCTATGAATTTCATAGGGTTATCTTAGGCAAGGAATACTCAGAGGTGGTTTTGTTCCTTTTACAAGGTTGCAAGTTCAGTACTAGCCAGGGCTCAGTCTAGACTCAGGCCTGCATCCTTTTGAGGTCACTAAAATGAGTACCCAACTGTTGGGGGGCAATGAGTTTACAGTTATAAACCGCTTAGACATCCCATAGCGCGATATGAAATGGTATATAAATGAAGCTGCTTTTCTTTGCATTGGAAACATTTAGCATATAGCACCTGATATTAATGGCTGTCTCCTGTCCAAATGAACCAGAGCTGACCCTGCTTAGCATCCAAAATCAGATGGCTTCTAGTGCCTTTAAAGTATTTAGAAACTAGAACACAAACCAATAAATTCAAATTACAAGAAAAGAGATCCCCTCTAAGCATTAGAAAGAACCCTCTTTATTGTGAGAGCTGTTTGACGGTGTCTTGGTGAGTGCTGGACTCCAAAATTCGAAGGTACTTTAGTCATTTATTCCTGCATGGCAAAGGGTTGGATACCTTTGCAGTTACATCCAACTCCCAAATTTCTACAGTCGCCCCTCCATTCTCACGGACTTCAAGTCCATGGGTTTACATATTCACAGAGGGGCGACCTCTGTTTAAATCAATGGGGCACATCCCCGTGAGTGCACCCATGGGAGTGCACCCCATTCAAGCCTATGGGGCTTGAATATTTGCTAATCTCAGTTTTCACCGGGGAAGCGGGTCCAGAACAGATCCCCTGCGAAAACGGAGGGCCAACTGTATTACTCATTTATTTTTTAAATAAATGAATGACTGCTCATTGTACTCTAAAGCATAGATGGGCCCTCCTGATGTTGTTGGACTTCAACCTCCCAGCCACCCTAAGTAGCATAGCCAATCCACCAATATCTGGAGAACCTCACTTTCCCCATTTCTGTTCTAAAGCCATAGCGAGAGATTTTTAGGAGGGTCTGAGGTTGCTAAAACACATAAGAGCACATGCTGTACCTGGGCCACAGGTTGCCCACTGCTGCTTTATGAACACATGATCTAGCTTCACAGTATGTGCACACATGTGTTGGGGGAAGACTGATTAAGTTCTGAATCTATTATTTCACAAAGGGCAACAATGGACACCATGGCCAAATTCCTCTCTTAAGACAGAATAACAGTATGCCCACAGAGTTACATGGCAGCTGTGAAATGCTGCCTCAGTAGTAAATTGCATCATTGCACAACCAAATGCACAATCCACATCAATGCCTAATGCACATCAATGTAATAATAATGAGGAATGAGCATCAACTCACAATGTGTGAGTATGCATAAGATGCATGCATAATTCAGTTTCCACAACCCTGAATTGAATATAGAGATTCCACATTGGACAAAATCTCCAACCACTTCCATACAGGAATGCACAGTTGTGTAATACCAACAGGATTTAAACCCACGTGTCAGGATTTCTGTGCATTTCTGCAATTGTTGCTGTTTTCAAAATAGCAATAAGAGACAGCTGAAATTTATAACTTGAAGAGTTGATGATCAGGAGGGATCTATCCTCAACTTTTGATGAAGTTTGTGGTCCACCTAAATACAAAATGACAGTATTGGTTTTACTTGACTTAGTGATGTGTTTCTCTGTAAAATTAACATACTATCCACATTCATAAATTACATGATGCACACATTTCTGTCTTTGTAAAGGACTTGTACTAAACATATAGGATTAGCATTTTGTTCAGTCTACAGAAAACCTTTCCGATCCTTAAATAGGGGACATTCTTTAAAATGAGGGACAACTTCCAGCCCTTATGAGAGCCAGCATGACATATGGGTATTGGACTAGATCTCTTGAGACCAGGGTTCAAACCCCTACTTGGGCATGGAAACCCACTGGGTGACCTTGGGCAAATCACACTTTCTCAGCATGAGAATAAGGCAAAGACAAACTTCCTCTGAACAAATCTTGCCAAGAAAACCCAATGACAGGGCCACCTTAGGGTTGAAAGTGACTTGAAGACAAACAACAAGCCAGCTGTGTAAAGGACAAGCTCTCCAGTTCTCAAATAAGGTACATCCTTTGTAATAAGGGACATCTGGAAATTACTGCTGAACTTTTGCTTAAACTAAATCTGAAAGCAAGTGGTGGGGTTCATCCTAAGTAATTCTGAGGGAAGCTCAAGAGAGTCAGTGAGGAATTGTGGATCCTTTCTGCCTCTCTGAAGTCATTTTCATGCATGTTCAGGTCTCATTGACAGAGCCTGCTGTCTGCAAGAACTAACAAAAGCATAAGGGATAGATACAAGGGGAACTGAGCTGTGCAGCTGATTCCTTTCAGCGGCAGTAAACAGAGGTAATCTATCCCTGTCCAGTAATGTTTATAAACATATTGTAAACAAGCATAAGTGAACAGCTCATCTCTCCAGGGGAACAGATGTGTCCTTAATACTGATTAAGTGTTTTGTTCTGCCTGAATATCTGGCAGACGTTTTATGCTCCTTGGATTGGTGCAGAGAGAGAGACAGGCTGATGACAGATTCATATTCTTCTGGCTTTTTAACTACATTGTGAGATCCTTACGACAATTCTGGATGCATCTCATATATGTGTGTGTGTGTGTGTGTGTGTGTGTGTGTATATATGTGTGTATGAGCGCACACATTCACGCACACACATATATATAACTAGTGATTGCTTCCCATGATGTGATCTAACTTAACAATTCATTCCTTAGCTGGGAGCTGCTTTGGAGGTGAACTGAGATCACAGTGGTGTTTGAAAAATGGAAAAACAATTATGAGCTAAAAATTTCCATGTAATTTTGGGGATTAAGTAGCCAAGATTGCCACGCTTCTCCCCCTCACTTGTCAAACTCAACATTCATCTGATTTCCTGCCATGCTTGCTAGTTACTGAATTTGGAATGCTTTATAGTGTTTCACTCTACAGGATGATAAGATGTTTTATACTACTGATGATGCTGATTGATCAACATTTATGGGGCAGTTAATAGATGTGTGGGGAACAGAGATCGTACTGGGAGCTGTCCCATGTAAAAGATGGGTAGATGAGGGAAAGGAGGGGAGACCCTGGGGAAAGGAGTGTTTGGATTTGTGAATGAATGGAATAAAAGCCTGCTGAAAAGTTTAAATTGCTATCTTCTTTTATTATACTGTGTAACCAAAATTGTTTCAGTTCTGACAACATAGGTTATGCTGTGAACAACTTTAGTTTTCTGAATAAAATTTTCTGTTACTGAGACTTGGATTTCTGAACTGAAGTGCTCCAGTACATGACACTACCATCCCAGAAAGAATCTGGTATCTGTCATAACTGAAGAAGCAACTTGCCAGTGATAAGAAGAAAGCTCTAACTGTTGAACGTGTGGCTCCTTGCCAGTACAGTCGACCCTCCCTATCCACAGATTCTTTATCCACAGATTGTACCATCCATGGCATTAAAATATGATGGCACGGACAATCCTAACTTTGGTATTTAGTCTGAAGGAGCTGAACAGGGTGGTTGAGGACAGAGTGACTAGGAGGTTTCTCATAGACAGGGTCTCCATGGGTTGAACTTACATAGATGTAACTTCACTTTTTGTTGTTCTTGTTGTTAATTGCCTTTGAGTTGATTTCAACCCATGGAGACCCTATCTACGAGAAACCTCCAAGTCACTCAATTCCATTGAATTGAAAAGTTTTGCAACTTCTGTATTCAGCAGTATGCTGCTTTAATGTTACCACATAAGGGAGCCAGTCAAGTGACTCTTACGCATTGGGATGCTAAGTGCATGGAGCACCAATGCACACTGGTTACTCCCAATACCCATTCAGACAATGTCTTCAGAGTGCTGATGTGCGTTAGGAGTTCCTAACACACATTTGTATGCCAGCCAGAAACCCCAATGAGTATTGACAGAGCCTGATGAACATTAGGACAGTCTTGCTGGTATGTACACTGGCCCATAGTATCCACTGGGGTTTGCTTCAAGAACTCCCCATGGATACCATAATCTGTGGATGCTCAAGTCCCATTGTATACAATGGTGTAGTAAAATGGTATCTCTTGTGTAAAATGGTAAAATCAAGGTTTGTTTTTTGGCTTGGTGTGTGTGTGATATTTTCAAGCCATGGATAGTTGAATCTGTGGATGCAGAATCCATGGATACAGAGGGCTAACTTTATCTTCATAATTCAATAGGAAGGCTCTGTATCACTTCTGCTACATAAACATGTGTAATGTCAGGCAACATAGACCATAGAATTGTGACCTTCATTTTTACTGATGAGTGACCCAAGATATAGAAGTCTTGAACTATTTTCATGTATTTGCCATCCATTTTTATGTAAATCATTTGGGGGTCATTATATCCATTTTATTAATATTCATCTGTAACCTGGCTTTCTGCACTTTCTTCCTTACCTTTCTAACTATATGGACTAGTGTGAGTGATAGCACAAACTTCCCAAGTACTGGTTTTTTTTTTTTATCTATTCATTTCTTTATATTACTAATGAGATAGACTGTGTCTTTGTTTTAAAAGAAAAAGTGCCTATAAAACAGCAAGAACGGCAGAACAAATACATCATCATCTTCATTGTCAACAATAGAGGATGCTCAGCACCATCACTATACCACAGTTCTTAAATTTCTTGGGATGAAAGTATGGAACCTTATTCAGCTTAAATAAGCATGACTTTTGTGTGTGAAAATTTCCCTGTTGTGATTGTGTGCCTTCATGTCATTTTCAACTTATGGTGACCCTAGAACCTATCATGGGGTTTTCTTGGCAAGATTTATTCAGAGGTGGTTTGTCATTGCCTTCCCCTGAGGCTGAGAGCATGTGACCTGCTCAAAGTGACCCAGTGGGTTTCAGGGCCAAACTAGGAATTGAACATTGGTCTCTGGAATTGTAGTCCAATACAAAAAACACTATGCCATGCTGGCTCACCCCCTTATTCAGAGTCAATAAAAGTAGGAAAAGGCTTAGGCCATAGGTAGTGTGGGAGAGTTCATTAGGTGCACTTCAGAGGTGCTTCTTTGTTACGATTCATAGAATGCCTCCTTCTGAGAAGAATTTGAACACAGAAATGACAGCTACTAGAAAAGCTTTGTGTGACAGCCATCATTTCCTCCAAAGTCCCAGGGAAATTGAGGAAAACTAATATGGGTCCAACATAGAAGTCTGTGGTACAGCCAGGCTCTTGTCTTCATGCAGATTGTCATTCAGACACTGGATACCATTATACTTTAAATGAATTTCTTTATCTATATGGAATGAGAACTAGCATCATGTAGCATTTGAGTATTGGACTAGGACCTTGGGAGATCAGGGTTCAAGTTTCTGCTCAGCCATGGAAACCCACTGGGTGACCTTGGGCAAGTCGTACTCTCTCAGCCTCCAAAGAAGGCATTGGCTAGCCTCCCCCAAAGTTCGCCAAGAAACCCCCATGATAGGTTCACCTTATGAAACAACTTGAAGGCACCCAGCAAAGCTATGTTCAACAGCTTGCAAGCAAGAAAATGAGTCAAATCCTGCCAAGTTGCAAGCAAGCAAACAATCAATTGGTTCAATGTTCTAATGATAAACAGGAGCGATTGGTACATTAATGAGCCCCTTCCCCACTATCATATCAGGTACAATTGTTCATTTCTGACTACTCCATTAAACAATTCTTTTAACCACTATCTATCTATCACCAGACATGGAAATGAAAATGAAAAATAGACATGAGATCTTTCTGCCATCAGTCACTATATTGTTATATGCTCAGAAGGCGTATGTCTCTCCTCTGAGGCTGAATATAATATTTTTGATCACTAAGATGTAAAGGATTGATGAACAGGGCAGGGGAACTAAAAAAAATAACCCACAGATTGAATTCTGAAGAAAGACACCTGGTGCTGGAATCTAAAAAAATCTAATGATTAGATTAGATACAGTTGGTCCTCTGTACCTACAGATTCTACATCCATGGATTCAACCAGCCAAGGCTTGAACATGTTTTTTTTTAAAAAAAAAAATCCCAAAAAGCAAACCTTGATTTTGATATTTTATATAAAGGATGCCATTTTACTACCCTATTGTATATAATGGGAATTGAGCATCTACAAATTTTGTAGGTCTTGGAACCAAACCCCAGTGTAGTATAGCAAGGGCCCACTATACTAATACTAATGGGGGTACTAATGCGGGGGGGGGGGGAACCTAAGGCTGGAATCCTGTTGGTATCATTTACTCATGTAAGTTCTCTTACACATATGGTTGTACATTTTTGGCCATTGTACAACATACATATACAGTCCACAGTAGTGCAAATGGAGTTTTGCAAGTGTAACTGTTTCACATGCAGTTATATATTGTTCGATGGTGTATAACTATTTGTCAATGCCTTCAGTGTACCAGTTAATTCAATGGGATTGCAGAAACAGTCAATGCTCATTCCCAATTGCACAACTGGACAATAACTCCATAGAGTCCATGGAGAGCATGTCTTTTCCTTGTTCTCTCCACCACTGGATTTCTGACAATGGAGAAAAAACAGCTGTTGACCATTCTGCAGCTTTGCAAAAGAGGCTTGTAAGACCAAAACTCCACCTCTGAAGGTAGACCTCTCTCTTTCTCTCCTCTTTGAGGGGGAAATCAGAAAAATACTGTGATCCCTGGGATGTCATTCCAAGGCCCATACTTATTCACTTCCCTCTGTTCTTTTGCTCACCTGGCAGCAGAAGGAATACTATCAGATTTGATTGTCCTTATGTCCAACAGCCAAAGCTTATTGTACTTGAAAAAGACATGCTGGCACTTTTCAGCTCAATGCATCGATGCAAAACTGTCTTTAATTATATCCTTTCAGACATCCCACATCACCAGCCTACAAGAATCAGAGACTTTTGGAGCTAGAAGGGACCTTGGAGGTTATCTGGTTGCATTGCAGGAATTATAAGAACTTAAGTGAGGTCATGTTTGTCTGACTACTTCAAAATGCTGTTTCTGCATAAACTAGCCAGACATCTTTGGGAAGCCCACAAGCAGAACACTAGGGGACACATTAATGTTTTCCATTGGAAACTGCTTTTCATCTCTAAGGTAATACAGAATTACCACTAGCTAGCATCCACTGACAACATTATATTCCAAAAGTCTGTATAATCTGCTTTTAAAACTGTCCAAGTTGGTAGTCATCACTACAACTTTTGGTACTTAATTCCACAGTGTGACTATATTCTGTGGAAAGTAGTTCCTGTTATTTGTCCTGAATCTCCCAACAGGAAACTTTACTGGGAAATCCCAGTGCAGCATTTTGGGGGCCTCCAAGGAGCTTATTGCATTACCTTTAAAACTGAGATTAGCCTCCCAGGATACAGCCGGGACATGGTGTGGAGGCAGGAATTATCACATTGTAATTTGCCAGCTGGCTGCCATTTAAAACTCCAGAGCTTGTCAACTTCGAAAAAGTGCCAGCTGAATGTGGCTGGGACCTGGGCTGCAGTTGCCCAGTGATTCGGGGGCAAATTACAATGCAATAATTCCCACCTCCACGGTGCATCCCAGCTGCATCCTGGGAAGCTAATTTCAATTTAAAAAGTAATGTGATAAGCTCGCAAGGCTCCCACCCTCATAGCATCCCCAAATTGTTTTTGTTTTAATGTTGTTATTTTTTGGCCTGGGATGGCCAAAAATTAACATGTATTTACCACTTCTGGACATTTCAAGTTCAAGAGAGGCATTTTTTCAACCTCCTGGGTCATTTCTCTCACTAGCTGTGAAGTAAATATTGATGTTATTGGTTGTCAAATTGACCCTATGAATGGAAGATCTCAAACCCTAATCATCAGCCTCCCTGATCAAGTTTTGCAAACTTAGGAGTGTTGCTTCTTTGATTGAATCAATCCTTCTGTAATGCAGTATTCCTCTTTTTCTACTGCCTTACATTTTACCAAGTATTATCATCTTTTATAATGAGTCATGCCATCTCAAGATATGCCCAAAGTACAATAGACTCACTTTAGTCATCTTTACTTCTAGTGAGAGTTCAGGCTTGATTTCCTCTAGGACCCATTCATTTATGGGTTTTTTGGCTGTCCATAACATCCATAGATCTCTCCTCCAGCACCACATTTCCAGTCAGTTGATTTTCTTCATGTTAGATTTCTGCATATCCAGCTTCAAGCCAATATCATATTTTATAATGTAACTGGAATGAAACAGAAATTGGAAATACTATGGCATGCATAATTCTAAGTTTGGTGTCTACAGAAACATCTACTGAAAGATGCTAGAGTCAGTAGATTTTGTCTTATTTCTCTCACCCCCACACTGTGATTCTGGTAAAAATGCAACCATGCACCATCAGCATTCCAGCTTTAGCACTTCCAGCTTTAGCACCAGAACCTCCAAATTACCCTTGAAATGTTAAATGAGCAAAATCTACGTCCCTCTTTACCTCACCTGTCACATCTGGACCAAAACAGCATCCAGAGCATCCTGTTTGTAGTAAATAGTGGTTCACCCACAGCTGTATGTAGTGGAAGAGATGAGGGTCAGGGGACAACTGATATGAAAAACAGTTATAGCTTACTTTGTGTAATGTGAGGCTATTTCTACTGGTAGTGATCTCATTGTAGCTTCAATGACCTCATCTAATTATCACTCACTCAAAAAGACCTTTTGTGCTATAATGCAAGTGAGAAGAAACACATCAGCAAACTAATGAACTCATCATGCGATCATGTCTTGCAAGTCTTTAACAAGTCTTTAACAGAAATGTGTTTGGAAATTGGGAAGGGGTGTGTGCTGCATTAGACAAAGGCTGCAATGATTTCACATTTATTTCCTCAACTTGAAAGGGAAAGTGATAATGACACTGCTCAAGAAGAAAGAATCTTAGATGAAAGTTACATTATGATGGTTTTAAACTGCTCTCTTGATTGCAAAAAAAATCTGAGATAGATTGCTTCTTTGAAATGGGATGCAGAAGAGGGCATTGTTTACTTTATTCTATAAAGGCAGGGAGAGCTTCAGTCCTAACAAAAGACAAAGACTGGCATCCTGTTGGTGCTTTACATGCACATGGGTTCCCTTATGTATACACTGGGGAGCAAAAATGTTAATGCCAAGATTATCTCCCTATTTCACAGATCAACCAGGGGATCAACAGAATAACGAAATCTAGGAACTAGAAATTCCCCCAAAGCATTTAAGAATCCTTTTGGATCTATTAGTTTCTGGGGTGGTCCATTTAATGAGTCCATTGCTCCTGCAGTGTTTAGGAGTCCCAGCAAACCTGAACTCTCTCAGTTGGTAATGTGACCATGACAACAAAGTTCTTTAAAAAAAAAATCTGTGGATCACCATCATTCTGACCTTCAAAAATTTGAAGAATGTGGCCTTCTACTTGATTAGGGCCAAATACTAACTGAAAAAGGCCCATGGTTGCACAGAAATCATGAAATCCTAAGCTGGCCCTGATGACGGTGCGTCAGCATGAATGTTAAAATCCCCCAATACAATATTTGGGAAAAGATAACACCATTTCCAAGATCACCTCAAGCAGCTTTGACTCATTGCCCTATTGGCAGGTAGAGACACCTTGAAGATTGCCTGACAGGGTACCTCAATAGAAGAATGAACTTTTGATACATTGCCGTTATTTCTCCCATCAGATTTTGCCTACTGCTTCACCAAGAAGCCTATTGGGCATAGTTGAGCCAAATTATCACCCTCTCTTCAGTTAACTGGTTTTTAGTTATTTTTGCAAGGTCCGCTTGCTTGTCTAGGATCAAGTCCTGGATCATTCTATAATTATAGTCTCTAGATCAGGGGTCCCCAAACTACAGCCCATGGGCCGAACCCAGCCCGTCGAGGCTTTTGAACCGGCCCATGGCCGGTCCTGCCACTGCCGCCACCGCATTACGCGGGGCACCATTTGATGTTCCAAAAAGGT